TGAGTTACAATGCCATTAGTCCCTATCACATGCTTGTGCCCTACCAACACATACCCCAACCGCTCAAACACCAGTTCCCCACCAAGTGCAGGGAACAGTGTAGTGCAGATTTACTGTCTCTAAGTAGCATTAATTAAAACTAGTTTTGCTGTCGATATTTCCACCAGGTTTGGAAATTGAGTGTGCTGTGTGGACTAGCCATTATCTGACTTTCACCTTGGTCCTCTTAAGAGCCTTGCATACTGACCACGCAGTACTTTTGAGGAAGGGCTTTCATGTGTTTGGAGGAGAGGATGAATACCACAAAGATTCTGCTCCTTCTGTACTGCCATGGCTAATTTCTGATGGCCTATATCCAGCATAAGTACACTGAAGCACAAAGCCTTCAGATACTCTCCTGATAGGCACCACAAAAGAATGAGAACAATAAAAGTGAAAGAGGGTGCTGTCATTTGCATAATCCATATTAGGAATGCTATTAAACTTTGATTTTACCAAATGCAGAAATTATTTAAATGCTGTTATGTCAGTAAGTTCCCAGTAGCCAAATGAATCCCCAATGTTCATTGTTGTGTTGTACTAATTAAATAATTTTAACTAAAATGGTCAGAAAGTACGCACAAGCTGTTTATCAGTGTTGGTCTTTGAGCTGCAGTATACTCAAAGGACATGCTACTTTAGATGTGATAATTATTGAGCTCTTACATTTTTGCTTGCTAAGAAGCCACAGAAGAGCTCCAACAGAGAATTTCACATTAATCAGAACTAACAGGGCACTTTATTATTAAGCCTGTGATTACCATCTAAAAACATTTATTTAGCACTATATTTGTGGGTGCAAATTCCAAGAGATTGGTTAAATTGATAAGAGGTTTACCCTAAGCTCTTTTCGGGAAATTTTAAATAAATTTATCTTCTATGAGCTGCATCAGAAATACTAAATAAATTTTAAATATTCATTCATAAAACAATATTAAGTCCTTTACTCACCTGCTTACTAAAGCGCCAATTATCTTTTCCAGACCCAACTCTTCACTAATTAACTCTGATGCAGGGAAATACCCATCTCCAATCAATAGGACATACCTGCAAATTCTAAAATCAGTGAGTCAAATGAAACCACAAGGGGACTAAATGTATACAGGAGGATCAAATATTTTAAATTATTTCTTTAAAAGAAAAAGCATGATAAAACTGTCAGAATTCTAATTCCTGAAACAGACACTCCAAAGTAGTAAGAATGAATGGAATAAGGAGCACACAGTTGTGGGCTTTGCAGACTGCTTTGCTCAATTGTTTCAAACAACTACTGTTCTGGAATCTACAGTGTTGCATCATATTAACTGATATGGTAGGGGACTACATGAATTTAATATCAGAAAAGGATAAAATTGAGAACAAATCCCAGGTCAGGTATTTAAGGCTTACTGGTGTACCTGGAAAAAAAAATCCTACATCCCATCGTTCTGTAAGAAACTCGTTTGCCAACTAACACCTCTCCAAAGTGACTAATTTTTCCCCAGGAAACTTTCTAGGTGAGTTGACTATGGATAGAAAAATCCTTCTTCTAAATCAATACCATGTACCATATTAAAGTGTTCCATTCTATCATTCCTTAATTTGATTTTTGAAAGTCAAATATTTCTAATTACTAGTTCAGAAACAGGACTATACGAAGATTGCTCAATCTGCTTTATTTAAAGTTGTAACGACTCTGTTCCAGCAAAGAAATTTGGAAAAATTGGACAGAGTCACTGTTTATACAATGTTCAGCTGTCTATGCAAGTGTTCAGTCATCTATTAATCTGCAGAAGCAGAAAGTTGCACATTAGCAACAGTCAGGAAGAAGGTATGGACTGAGGTCTAAGACTAAGCAAATACGCAAATTCACATGCTTACCCCTCATATGTGCGTCCACATTTATTCATTTTTAAAAAGTTAATATTACAAATTTATTGTCTCCTAAAAGCGTACTGTAGCTAATTATGAAGAATTTACCCTAGGAATTTGCTAGAGATTCAGGCCATAGACTGAAGTGCTTGTAGATTTTGCCATAACTATACGAAGGTAGGGTTGCCATAGTTGCACTAATTTTAATTTGCTAGTTTGAATTTAATTGAGATATAGTTATTTTCTTTAATTACAAGTGATTTAATATGCACTGAAATAAAGATTATCACCCATAATCTAGAAGTAGGTTAACATCCTGCATTGGCATATACAAGGGTTTGGTTTTATTTTGACTATTTCTTGAATAAAACTGCCATTTATACCTCAGTAGTGTAACTTTATATATGTTCCTACCCTTATCTAGAAATAAGGGTAACCTAAGAATAACTTAATATTTCTGTGCTTCATGACTAATTTAAAGTTCTGCATGGAGAAGATGAAGTTACTCACCCTGTGCAGTAACTGACCTTCTTCAAGAGATGTCCCTGTGGGTGCTCCACTCCAGGTGTTGGTGCGTCCCTACACCTTCACTCAGAGATTTTTACAGTAGTACTCGTACCGGTCACGCACGCACAGAGCCTGCCCCCCCCGCTCTGAGTGTACCTTAATAGTATGCATGCGCGACCGGACTCCCCAGGCTACCCCAACTCTGAAGTAGAGGGAAGAAGGGTGGGGAGTGGAGCACACACAGGGATACTCATCTCGAAGAAAGTCAGTTACTGTACAGGTGAGTAACCTCCTCCTCTTCTTTGAGAGATGTCCCTGGGGGTGCCCACTCCAGGTGACTTAAAAGCAGTGTATCTCAAGGAGGTAGGGACTTTGGCTTTGGTAGAAATGCAGTAAATAATACAGCTCTGCCTAATTGTGTATCGGAGAGAGGGCCTTGAGTAAGGGTATAATGCTTAACAAATGTGTGTTCAGAAGTCCAAGTGGTCGCTTTACAGATGTCAGCCAGAGGAACTTTGCATAGAAAAACCACGGAGGTAGCCACAGACCTAGTGGAGTGAGTTCTGATGCCGGCTGGAGGCATAACTTTCTTTCTTTGATAGCACAGTCGGATACAGTCAGAAATAAAGTTTGAAAGTCTCTGGGTAGAAATAGGTGTCCCTTCGGAGCGCTCTGCAATGGAGACAAAGAGTCTAGAAGAATTTCTAAAGGGCTTGGTTCTAGCCAGATAGAAGGACAAAGCCCTGCATACATCTAACGTATGCATTGAGGATTCAAAAGAGTTTGCATGTGGTTTGCAAGAAGATTGGTAGGTGTATCGGCTCATTGATGTGGAATGACGAATGAACCTTTGGAAGAAATTTGGGGTGTAGTGGAGGGTAACCTTGTCCTTAAAAAAACAGCGTGTACGGTGGGTCCGCCCGAGAGCTGCTATTTCTCCTGCACGGCTGGACAGAGATGATTGCCACTAAGAATGCTGTTTTCATAGAGGGGTGCAAGAGGGAGCAAGTGCCTAGGGACTCGGATGGCTGTTGAGTTAAGCAGGAGAATACTAAGTGAAGGTCCCACGGAGGAGTAGGAGGTTTAATGTCCAGGTATAGGTATTGGAACCCTTTGAGAAAACGCTTTGTGATTGGATGAGCAAGAACAGAGGTATCGTCGATCTTGTCATGAAAAGTTGTAATAGCAGCTAAGTGGACCTTGATGGAGCTGAAAGAAAGGCCAGATTGTTTAAGGTCTAATAGGTAGTCAAGTACGGGTGGAAGAGGTACAGAAGTAGGAGGGAGTTGTTTAGTGGAGCACCATTGTGTGAATTGCTTCCACTTTCAGAGATAGCAGAACACAACCTACTCGCATCACCTATATAGGAGCACTCTTTGAACCTGCTCAGAGCATGCTACTTCATTTTGGGAGAACTATGGAGGAACCAAGCTTTGAGGTGAAGCATGGACAGGTTGGGGTGAAGAAATCAGCCGTGTTGCTGAGATAGGAGGTTCGGAGTGAGGGGCAACGAAATCGATGGGCAAATTGACATTCTGGTGAGGAACGGAAACCATGGTTGTCTGGGCCACGACGGAGCAATCAGAATTACCGTGGCACGATCTGTTCGTATCTTTGTCAGAACTCTGCGGAGAACCGGTATTGGGGGAAAGCATACAGTAAGTGTTGAGCCCATGAGATCAGGAATGCATCTCCTAGGCAATGTTTGCCCAATCCTACTCTTGGGCAAAACTCAAGACATTTCTTGTTCTTCACAGTCGCAAAAGAGGTCCAGGGTTGTATAGCCCCAAACACGGAATATACTGTGTATGATCGTGTCGTTTATCTCCCATTCGTGATCCCTGGGAAAACGTCTGCTTAGTTTGTCCACGGTGGTATTCCGGGCCCCAGGAAGATAGGCGACTGATATCTGGATGTTGTTTGTGAAGCTCCAATTCCACAGCTTCGTGGCTTCTGTGCAAAGTGAATGAGAACGAGCCCATCTCTGCCTGTTGACATAGAACATGCAAGCGATGTTGTTTGTCATTATCCGAACATGTTGGTTCTGAATAAATGGGAGGACGTGATGGCAGGCATTGCGTATGGTTCGCTGTTCCAGGACGTTTATGTGTAGGGAGGCTTCAGTGGAAGACCATAGCCCCTGGGCTGCGTGGTAGGACATGTGCACTCCCCATCCCGTGAGGGATGCATCGGTAGTCATTATGAGTGATGGGGAGTCCTGGAGAAAGGGGACTCCTAAGCAGAGGTTGGAGGGAAACTGTCCACCATCGGAGGGAGTCATTGACTCTGAAGGGCATGGATAGAAGCTTGTTTAGAGCATGTACGTTCGGTCTGTAAACTGTGGCCAACCAAGCTTGGAAGCACCTCATGTATAGGTGTGCATTTTTGACCACGAAAGTACACAAGGCCATGTGGCCTAATAGTTGCATGCAGACTCATGCAGTGACCTGGGGATTATTGTGAAGTTTTGTAACCAGGAGTTTTATGGTGTTGAAGCAATCAAGCGGGAGCAACGCTATTCCTATTTGGGAATCGAGGTGCGCTCCTATGAACTCCAGTTGTTGGGTAGGAGATAAGGTGGATTTGTTTTTGTTTATTTGCAGGCCAAGGGAAAGGAAGCAAGCAACGGTAAGCTGCGTGGATCGAAGCACTTCGTCAACCGTTGAGGCTTTGAGGAGACAATCATCGAGGTAAGGAAATATCACCCCGTTTCCTGAGGTGGGCAGTAACCACGGCTAGGAGTTTGGAGAAAACTCGGGGAGCGGTAGATAGACCGAAAGGCAACACTCTGTATTGAAAATGTGTCAAACCGAGGGTAAAACGAAGAAAAGGTCTGTGGGCTGGGTGAATAGAGTCCTGTAGGTCGAGGGCTGAAAACCCATCGCCTTGCTCCAGCACTGGGATTATGGTGGTGAGGGTAACCATTTTGAACTTTTGCTTTTTGATAAATTTGTTTAACCGCCTGAGGTCAAAGATCTGTCACCATCCCCCAGTTTTCTTTTCTGTGAAGTAGTAATGGGAGTAGAAACCTTTCCCTCTGTGTTGTTCGGGCACGATTTCCACTGCCCCCACTTGAGGGAGATGTTGTCCTTCTTGGAGGAGCAGTGGCTCATGAGAGGGGTCCCTGAAGAGGGACAGGGAGAGGAAAGGTATAGAATAGCCAACTGTGACGACCTCTAAAGTCCACTTGTCGATGGGAGAATGAGCTTAGGCGGTGACCAAAAGGCGGTGTAAGCGCTGAAATGGGAATATGGTTTTCTATACCCTCGACCAAGACTTCAAATTTGCTTATTGGTTGGAGGGGGCTGAGACGCTGCCGAGGAGTTGGGACGGCGGCGTTAGTATCTGGATTTCTGGCGTTGCTGTTATTGCTGTTGCTTGTGAGATCTACGGAATTGCTGGGTGTATGTGGGGTAACGTGGTCGTTGGTAAGGCTGGTCATCTTCTGGTCATAAGGGTTTGAATTCGTAAAGACCGGAGAGTTGCCATGGAGCCCTTCATGGAGTGGAGTACATCATTTGGGGTGGAGGCGAATAGTTTGTCACTGTCGAAAGGGAGATCCTCAGTGGTACTCTGGACCTCCTGGGGAAAGGAAGAGGACGAGAGCCATAACCCTCGGCACATCACAACTGCTGTGGCAGTGGACCGTGCCATCGTATTGGTCACATCAAGGGCAGCTTGAAGAGCAGTACGGGAGATGATTTCTCCCTCAGAAACTATGGCTGTAAATTGTTGTTTCTTTTCTTCTAGTATATGATCAACAAAGTCCATGAATTTATTGTAATTTTTGTGGTCATACTTTGCTAGAACGGCTGTATAATTAGCAATGGAAACAGCAAAGTGGAAGAAGCGTATACCTTACGTCCGAGCAAATCTACTCACTTACTGTCCTTGTCGGAGGCGGTGGAATGGGGAAATTGGTGTTTGTTCTTTTGGTTAACTGCGTCTACTACCAGCGAGTTTGGCACTAGGTGATTAAAAAGGAATTCTGAGTACTTTCGGTCCGCTCTCTTACAGGTAAGCAGGCTTGCAGCCGGGGTTTGCCAAATGGCCTTGGCAGGTTCTGAAAGGGCTGCATTGATAGGTTATGCAATTCTAGAAGAAGAGGGCTGCAGGATGTCAGTTAGCTCATGCTGCTGTTCAGGAACTTCCTCCAGGTTAATTCGTAGCTCATTGGCAGCTCTTTTAAACAGGTCTTGAAATTTTGAAAAGTCATCAGGAGGAGGAGGAAGCAATGCTTCATCAGGCGGAACAACTGGTTAGAGGCAGGCCGTGCTTGCTCTTGCGGTTGTGACTGGGCTCCCTGGTGTCTGGAGTCAGTGGCAGGGTCATCAGCTGATGGTACCAAGCAGGTCTCACGCCTGGCTGCATTGGTATAACGAGTATGGTCCTGAGTATAAGGAGCCCATGGAGTCCAATATTGCCACTGTGGTGGGAAGGGCATGGGTGGTGCCATCCAGGGGTTAACGCACCATGGGGCAGGACCCTCGTAATAG